GGAAAGGTGTTTATAGCTTATATGGGCAAAGGGATTGCTTTTAAGTTGGATTTTTTTAAGATAACAAAGATAAAAAGTATCAAACTTTGACAGTTTTTAAAACACACTGCAACATCTGTGGTACAGCTGAGGGGTACATGTGCTTAACAGGTATACTATCTTCACTTCCCTTCCCAGTGCCCAAACACACAAAATAACTGCTGAAGGTTCCCAGATAATATATTTACTACACATGATAAATCACCTGGATTTTTTTCCCTTGGAGACAGGGTCTTAATATGTAGACCAGACTGGCCACTAACTCACAGAGGTCCTCCTGCCTCTGCCCCCAGAATGCTGAGATTAAAAGTGTGCACCATCACACTGGCTCTTAATGCAGTCTTTAAGCAAAGTGATAATGCCAAATTTTGTAGACACGGTACCCATCTGTGTGGCTACTTCAGTCAGTTCCATACATCTGGACTTTCCTAATAAAATGAGGTTTCCTACTTCAAAACCCGAGCTCTACAAAGCAGCTGGAGACTTTCTGAGACCGTTAACATGTCAGTAAAAGCACGGGGCAGTAGTTTTGACAGTAAATCATCAGAGTAACAGTTCCATGAATGAGCACTTGATTAAAGCCCTCAGGTTTTTATTGCCCATATTTTATTTTGCAATTTTTATGAGGTTGGAAGGAACCTGGAGCCAAAGTGCATGAGTTTCCAGAGCCACTCTTAAGTAAAGACACTTATATAAGAAAGGGAATTGGGTTCTGTTTTCCTGTCTCAGATAGTAGTATGACATGCTTTCTTACTCATTTCCTGCTAATGTCCAGAGACACTTTGTGAAGTTAATACTCACTAATAAAATTGCATGGCTGTCTATTACCATTCTTCTACTAATAAATAATCCCCACCAACACACTTATCGATCAGATGATGATGGAGAATGTACTGTGTATGTTTATCTTATTGATTGTTAAATAAAATACTGTCTGGCCAATGAAACAGCCAGTTAGATGGGATAGAGAGTCAAAGAGGATTCTGGGAAATGTAGTAGATAAGTGGTGATCCAGACAGGAAGTGACATAGCAAGGAGACTCATTTAAAGAAGGAGAAACAGGAAGCAGCCCCCTTTTCCCCTCTGCTCCTGCTCCAGCGGCACACTGTGATCCACTGGCAAGGAGGGACGCCAATAAAGTGTCCGATAAGATAAGTCTTATCAAATACATAGGTTTTTGATAGTTAAGACTAAGCTAGCAGATGAGAATCCTAGTCACTGGCCAAGCAGCATTGTACCTAATACAAGTCTTTCTGTGTATTCATTTGGGCCCTAACTCAGGCAGGCGGCTGGCATAAAGCTCACATGTGGCCGTGGGGCTCAGGTGGCTTTTGGTGGAAAGATTTATCGTAACAGGATGAAGCTGTGGCTGCCATGCAAAGGGAATGATTGACGGAGGCAGAGCTCTGTGGCAATGTGGGTTCAGGGCCCAGCCGTGCCACATGGTAACTGTATGAACTAGAACAAACCATGCAATCTCACTGAGCAATTAGCACTGTCGCTGTGGTATGGTAAATGTATAGGAAGTGAGCACACCTGCAGGATAAAGTATGGTCTCAAAGCACCATTCCTTGACAAGTAGAACCTCGATTCTCTAGGGAATTGAGAGGCTTGGGCTGGTAACCTGAAAATTTCAAGTAAGCCTAGGATATGACCTTTGATGAAAGTAAGGGAGTGTTAAACAAGTGCCATGGTGCAGGGTCACAAGGGCCACCTCAAAAGACATTCCCATGCACAAGTTCAGAGAAGTGGGAACACCATGAAAAAAAAACTGTTAGAAAACAAAAACAATAAAAATTAATGTACAAGAATGAAAAATAAGCTGTTTTTACAGAATTATAGCATTATAGCAGCTGAACACTCATGTATTCGTAGCTTTGTTCTGAATTATGGAACCTTTAAGAAAAACAAGAGAGCGGGCTGGAGGGATGGCTCAGAGGTTAAGAACACTAACTACTCTTCCAGATGTCCTGAGTTCAATTCCCAGCAACCATATGGTGGCTCACAACCATCTGTAATGATATCTGGTGCCCTCTTCTGCTGTGCAGGCATACATGGAGGCAGAATGTTGTAAACATAATAAATAGATAAATCTTTAAAAAAGAAAGAAAAGAAAAACAAGAGAGCATGGGAGGGAGAGAAGAAGGGAGGGAGGGTGAGCTAGCAGCTGACACAGGAGGAATTATAAATGTATAAATTATCACTTTGCTACCTCTGAGGGGCAGTTAATCAAGGCAAGATGTGATGGATGCTAACATCTGGAAAAATAAGATTATAATACAGCATCATGGTAGACCAGTTGCCTAACATGCATGAGGCCCTAGGTTCGATTCCCAGTACAAAAAGCAAGAAATGATCTCATAATTGTTACCCCGAAAACATTTCAGGTAACTGGAGAAGGAAAAAAAACTATCCTTACACTAAAGAGACTGGAGTCGGGTATAGTGGCATTTGCCTATAACCCTAGCCTTTGGAAAACTAAGGCAGTACAACTGCTATGCATTTGAAGCCAACTTGAAGCCACACAGCAAATGCTAGACCAATATCTAGCTAGTTAGCTAGCTAGCTATCTGTTTGTCTGTCTGCCTATCCATCTATTGACCCATCTATCTCCCTCCCTACCTCCCTCCTCCCTCTTTCTCTTCCTCTTTTCTTCCCTCCACCTTGCCCCCTCCTCTTCCCTCTCCCTCTGCCAAGTGAGGCATAGGAAAAAAAAAAACTACATTGATAAGCATAGAAGAGGACCTCAGCAGAATTCAGCCATGCCAGCACCTGACCTTGCATTTCCAACTTACTGTTGTTTAAGCCATACACTCTAGACTTTTTCAGTTTCATTGTCCTATAGTTTTCTGTAGTACTGGGAATCCAACCCAAGGCCTTGCACAGCTGGACTCACATGTTCTCGCTGTGCTGGATCCCTAGCCAAGCCTGTGGAATTTTGTTATAGCAGCACAAACTGTTCAAGATAAGAAGCTAATGACAATGACACTCTTTGCTTTTCTCCAGCACTGAAGCACTGGGTGGGGAAAGCCAATGGTAAGAGGATTTGTTCATGAAGATAACTGGAAATAATTAGAAATTACCATCATTACTGTGGAATAATTGGAAACCATCATTACTTTGGATCACTGGTAGAATCAGTGACTTCATTACAGATAAGGAAGGTGTAAGGAAGATGCCTCCTTCACACACCAACTCCATGTCATTCTTCTCAGCCTGGAGACCAATGGGCCTTCCTCCCTCATGGAGCCTCTCTGGGACACCCAGTCACTAACCTAATCAGAAAGTCCCAGTCTGTGACTAGAGCTGCTGCACTTTCCCTAACTGGCTGCACTGGCTAACTTTAGCTTTAGAAAGTGAATGGTTATTATTAATCCAATAATGAGCCTCTTGATCATATAACATAAAACATAATTAAAAGATTATACAGTGCTAGACATACAGTGTTTATTCCCACCCTCAAACCAGTTCTAGCTAGTTGGCAAAGACCAAGCTATTCATTGTATAAATGAAAGTTTATAATTAGGAGCCATTTCCTTTGGTTGACACCTCTCAGAATTACTGCATCCATATACTTGGATCCAACAAGTCTTCTAGGATTTTGTTTTATGATAGATGGCACATGAAAAATTATATAGGATTGTTGCAGATTAAATGAAAACTGCCCCTCATAGGCTGATGTGTTTGAACACTTGGTGCCTAGATGGTGGTGCTGTTGGGAGGTTCTGGAACCTGCAGGGGGGGTAGAGCCCTTCTGGAGGAAGTGCCTCACTGGAGGTGGGATTTGAGGTTTTAGAGCAGACCCTACTTCCTGTTTCCTCTCTTTCTGCTTCCTGTGTGTGGATGAAATACGATCAGTCTTCTCTTCCTGATGATTAGGTGGCCTCTCACTCCTGCTGCCATGCTTTCTCTACCATCAGGGACCATATCCCCTCTGGAACTATAAGCCAAAATGAAGCCTTTCTCCCAAAATTGCCTTTGTTAGAGCATTCTATCACAGCAACAGAGGAGCAACTGATGCAACTCTTCAGAATGGACTTACTGAAAACAGTGTGTGGTGCATTGCCCTTTTACTAAAAATAAACATATACATTGATAAACAGAAGGCATGTCTTTTATACATATTGTACATATGCGTGTACAATGGATAATTCCAGAAGGATATATATTTTAAATGTTTTTTTTAAGGTTAGGATGACTCAGATTATTTGTGCATAAACAAGAAAATTTACATCTGGATCCCCAACATCTATGCAAGAAGCCAAGTGTGGAGGGGTGAAGGGGAGGGAGAAAGGGAAGAAGAAGAGAAAGGGAAAGAGGGAGAGAACACACCACCATAATTCCAAAGGTGAAGACAGGATTCTGAGAGCCTTCTGGCCCCTAGTTAGGCCAGTTTGTGAGCTCCTGTTTCAGTGGGAAACCCTATTTCAAAACATAAGGTGGGTAGAGATGAAGCAAGACACCCACTGTTAAACCCCTCATCAACCTCTGACCCCTGCCTGTGCATACAGAGGCAAACACACAATTGATTAAATAAAAAGGGAAGTATAAGAAGTTTCCCCGGAGGATAAGTGGCTGCCTAAGAAGAGGGAGGAGAGGGAGGAATCATCATTTAACATCTTTTGTACAATTAGAATTTTGCATCTTTTAAACTTATTACCTATTTGCTCAAAATCTAAGATTTGAATATGAAAAACATCATTATTATCTAATCAAAGTAAGCCATCCTGTCTACAAATCCCTTAAAGGGCTCTGTATTTCTTTTTTGCAATTACAAATATGTAGCAACTATGTATAAAAAGTACCTATTAAATATCAAACGTCCTAGTTGGATCACTTCTCCCCACAGTCCAGAGAGCAGCCCTTTGAAACAGGAGCCCATAGTTTCAGGGCACTCATGGACACCTGCTCCTCCATTTCCACTCTGTGAGCCCAGCAGGGGTGCCTCCAGCACACTGTACCTGGTTCAGCTTGTCTTTCTCCATAGCCCAGGAAGCAGCTCTTGTCTGCTCCCTGCTGACTTCCGCTGCCAGCCTCGAGATTGTTTCTCTGTTAGCTTTTGCCTCCATCTCATGGACATTTATAGTCTCTTCAAGAGTCACAATTTGTCCTTTCAGGAGTGTGTTTTCCTTGCACAGCTCTCGAAGCTAGAGAGAAAGAAATTACAGCTGTGCTAAAGAAGAAAAAAATAAACAGTTCCATCCACTTTCTCCAAGCAACTCACAATCTATAGCCTAATGAGGTTTCATTCTTCCAAAACAATGAAAACAAAGATACAAACAGTCACATTTTCAAAGGCGGCCTCTAAATGCCACTATTTGCAGACCCAGTGGTCAAATTAAAATTATTCAAAGGGGCCACAAGGCAAGGATGATGGAAGTTGAGTAAGCTGAGACTGAGTGAAATGTGCCTGAGATGAGATGATAGGCTAAAGGGATGACAGGGGTCACTGACCAAGAGAGCTGTCCTCAGCCTGCTTCCAATTGCACCTACTGTGTTCGAGGTGCTGGCATGGGGGAGGGGGCACTGCAGAGAAAACAGAGCACTTGTGTTCACAAATATCTTCCTAAGTAATTGTAAGCATCCTATGAAGTGTGCTAAAAATGGTCGTCATGGGGGTTAGCGTTCAAGGGCTTTTTGCTTTCTGTGCTATGTATTGAGAAAAGTTCCCTGGAAGCATTTGTAAGCCTCCCTAGCCATATAGATAAACTCACTCTGTAGGGCCATGATGATGCCTGTAATGGGACTTGAAACCCCAGATAGCATGGTCTGCATTTGTGTTCTGACTACCGATGGAAGTGACACGTCTCTCAGTCCCTGAACTTGATACCATTTCACAACTCAATTCTGCTCCTTGCTCTTGAACACTTCCTCATTCCCAGCATCGCTCTACATAATTCCTCAGGGGTAGTGCCCCAACCTGCCTGCCTGCCTAAGCCAGCTTCCCATACCTCTGGCATCCTTCATTTCCTAACCCTGCATCACAAGGTAGTTTTCTTCACAGAACCTTTCACCAGATAGGGTGACAATACAGTTATTAACCTTGGCACCATCTCAATTCCATAACCAGGAAAGAAGGGTGTTTCCCCAAGGGTGTAAAATTAGTCTTGTGTCATTCACTGCTATATCCCCAAAACAGTGCCCACATGCAATACACATTCATTGAACATTGGTGAAACAGATATCAAAGAAATTATTAAGAATGCTTCCTGGCTAGGTAAAGTGACACGTCTTAAATCCCAGAACACAAGAGGTAGACGTAGGTGGATCTCTTTGAGTTCAAGGCTATCTTATCAATACAGAGAGCTCCAGGCCATCCAGGGAGACATAGTGAGACCCTGTCTAAACATGGGAGATATTGGAGAAATGGATCAGTAGTTAAAAGTACTTACTGATCTTCCAGAGAAACCAAGTTTGGATCCCAGAACCCAAATCAAACAATTCACAACTACCTATAACTCCAGTTCCAGGGCATCTGATGCCATCTTCTGGACTCCAAGAACATGAGTACATATACTCATATGTATATATACATACACACAATTAAGACTAAAATCTTTTTTTAAAGAATGCTCCCCTTTTTTTACCATCTGCTTATTCAGGCATGGGAAAGTAAAGAAATGGCTTTGATAGTATGGATTTTCTTCTGCTTCTCATAGGAACACTTAGTAGGTACAAGATTTCCTATCAACACTGATATTTTTAAAGAGAAGTGCCTGATCCAGCTGGGGTAGTCCCTGTTTTAAAGCATAGGCTTCCCACACACACACTTTCTAGTTTGAGGAGGCCTACAAGGACATTGCTGTTAGAAAGATCATTCAGGGCTGGAGAGATGGCCCAGGGGTTAAGAGTGTGGACTGCTCTTGCAGAGGATCCAAATTCAGTTCCTAGCACCCATGTCAGGAAGTTCTCAACCACCTGTGGCTCCATCACTAAGGGATCTCACACCTCTGGCCTCCAGGAGCACCTGTACTCACATATGTATACACACACACACACACACACACACACCAAAAATAAAATGTTTTGAAAAAGAAAACATTAGTCATTATGCATGTCCTTGTTGTAAGAGTCACTTGGAGAAAACCTGGGACCGCTGAAAAGGAAATGGAACAAGGAAATATGGACAGGTGGCTTCCTTGTGGCTTCTGTGAGAAGCAATGGGTAAAATAGAGTAATCTGGCTTAGGACTGGCTAGAATGAATACTTGTGGGGGTGGGTGTTCTTCAGAGCCATCTGATACCTAACTCTGAGATGAGCAGAGCAGCAGAATGGTGGCCAAGAGTATAAGATCCAGGAGGTGGCTGAGGGGTGGGATCTGCTTTTGTTTGTATGTAACAGTGGCCATCCAAGGGAATCATCCACCATTTGCACAAGTTGGCTGACTACAGGAGTGACTGGCTCTCCTGGTAGGTAAGGGCCAAATGACAAAGTATTGGGAATACAGAAAATAAAGGGGCACGATTAGCAGAAATCCTCCTGATATACACTTAGGTCATCACCAGTGGAGGGAAGGGAATCATTCCCCCAGGTGGGGTTTCCAAGTTCCCTTTTGCTCTGCCCAGCACTTGGCTTATGATACACATGAATCCCCCAAAACCACACCAAAAGTGGACTTGTGCAATCAAGCTCCTAGTCCTATATTAACTAGAAGGAGTCCCTGGCTAAATCAAAATTAATCTGCTTGCAGAGGACACTGTAGGAGCTGACTCATGGACAACTGGGAGGTGACTTTTAACAGAGGCTGTATGAATATCTGTCAGGACACAAGGACACAAAATGTTTATGAATGAACAGACACCTGAATGAATTGCTATGTATCAAGCCAAATGTTACATTAAAATTATCAATCTCTGCCTTTAATAGCAATCTGCCAAAGGATAAGATCTTATTAGTTCCAGTGTAAAAGGTCAAAGTACTTTAGGACTAAGTCTAGCTTTTTACTCATTACATACACCCAAAATGACCCTTTTTTTGGCAGAGTTGTGGGGAATGTTTTATTAATTATACTATGAAGAGGGCAGTAGCCTGGGAGTAACAAAAGTACAACCTATAGCCCACATCTTTCCACTTCATGTCACATGTTCTCTAGCCCTGTTCCCATCTTTGAAGGATACAAGAAGGGATGGGAACATGGGGGAAACAGAAGGGAGGAGGAGAAGCCACAAAAAAAACATTTTATTTGAAAATGCATTATGAAGTCTAATGCTGCTTGTGTTCATTTAAAGATATCAATGGAAATTAAAAACATTAATGTTTTATATATCTGATTTTGTTTATGTATGTGTGTTTGTAACCAAAAGAAAAGGTTTATGCACAAACAAATCATTGCAATAATTAATTACATTTGAATGTCTAGATACATTTTAGACAAAATAATTAATCCATTTTAGACACTAATCTCAAACAATACTAGTGAGGATTCTAGAACTGAAGTTCATAGAAATTATGTGGTCTATCCTGGTCTACATCATTAATTAACACTACCTTTGGGCTACTGTCCCAGTCTCCTACCATCCCAAGAGTCAACCACCACAGTTCCCTTTCCTGTCGCATGTCAAAACAACCCTGCTATGGAACAATCTTTGTACACTGTAAGCATATATTGCTCTCATTGTTAATAAAAAGCTAACTGGCCAATAGCTGGGCCAACAGAGATTGGGTGAGACAGCCTGACACAGAGAGAATGCTGGGAAGAGGAAGGGCAGAGTCGGGAAGTCCCAAGCCAGATGCAGAGGGAGCATATGAATGCCTCATGCTAATAAAGGTATGCCACATGGCAGAGTATAAATAAGGAATATGGGTTAACTTAAAATGCAAGAGCTAATTAGTAATAAGCCTGAGCTATTGAGCAAGCATTTGTAATTAATAGTAAGCCTCTGAATGATTGTTTGAGAGTGGCTGCAGGATAGGAACACTCTGCCTACATGACCCTGTGTGTATAGTGCCTTTAACCTGCATGCAAAAATACCTTTAAAATTAAATCTTCATTGGATGCTTCCTCATGTTTCTTGTCTAGACTCAAGCAGTCACAAAGCTCAGTCCGAAATTCCTCATGTCTCCGGAGATTCTCTAAGCCTTGTTTCTTAGACTCCTCATTTTCCTTCAAGCAGTTTCTATCAGTAAAATAATAAATAAATCAAGATTTAGCACTATAGCAGACAACATTCATCAAACCAAGTCAGAACTAAAGCTCTCCATGGGGAATAACCACCATTTTCAATATATCATAGTGTCCCAGTAGCAATGATTGGCAGCTAAACCCTGCCAGGAAATGAGAAATGCCAAAGCAACTTCAGCACACCTACAGTCTGTAGAAGATAAAAATCTTCATGGTATCTGGCCCTAATAACAGAAGAGTCTTTGCCTCCTGTTTTCATCTGATCTGCAGACATGAAGGCAAGCACTAGTTCATATACACAGACCCTCTGCCATGTGTGTGGTCACAATCCACAAGGCCTGGGGCCTCTCCTGGGGCCTCCAAGGGGAAGAGAATGGCACTGTATGGATACTAGAAGATCAAGTTTCATTTTCTTTTTAGACATTATGTGGTGATTTTTATGGTTCATAGCCAAGTATAACTGATAGATATATACACATATATATATACATACATACATAAATACATACATACATACATACATACATACTATCTGAAGCAGGGGGGTTTCTCCTGTGGAGAAAAAATATTCAAGCACCAGCAAAGAGCAATATGAGCAGCCACACAGAGAGAATCTTTAGCATATTAGTAATGTATGGAAATTGACAAGTCAAGGAAATGTCAGGTATTTGGTCTCCAATAGGTTTGTTAAAATAGCACAGTGCCTCCCTGATGCTTTAAATGTTCAGAAATATCATCAAAAAACAGACATACTTTTAAGGCAAATTAGAATCATCTCAGTAATTTGCTATCATTTTTTCAGTGTTCTAGACAATAATCATGATTATTGCTTTCTTTTTCCCACGTTAAGTGTTTACTGCAAAATTTTTGACTCTATTCAAAGATTAACAAAGCCCGTAATTGCATGTACTCAAAAGCATATCATATTTCCATTTAAGAAAGTGTATTAATAAATGACTAGTGTTGGTCTATCTGTAGTTTCTGCATGTACGAAAAGCACAGTGCCTACCACAGCTCTGATAGATCTGCCTACATGACCTCACACACTGGCCACAAGATGTCAACATCACAGCTCTATTGCAAAGGTCGCTAAACTAGGTCCATAGCTATTTGCTTCTTAACTGACCTAACAAAGTTCCAAGAATCTACGCTAAGGAAATAATCACATAAATGTAAAAATGTGAGTGCCTGCAGATGTCCTGTTCAGATTGTTTTATAGTAAACTTTTAATGAAACTAATCTAAGTATTCATAGGAAAGAACCAAGAAACTAGTTTTAAGTGAGTAAAGCTTTTTAAGATTTATTTATTTATATTTTATGTGCATGAGAGTTTGCCTACTTGTATGTATATGTGTACCACATGTGTGCCCGGCACCTATCAAGATCCAAAGAGGGCGCTGCATCCTCTGGAACTGGTTATAAACAGACGGTTGTGAGCTGCCATGTGGATGCTGGGAACCAACCTCCTTCCCTGAAAGAGTTGGAAGTGTTCTTAACTGCTAAGCCATCTCTCTAGCTCTCCGTTAAGCTAATTTAGAAATGGGACATAAAATGCCATCAAGATGATGAACTAGGGGCTGGAGAGATGGCTCAGCCGTGAAGAGCACTGGCTGCTCTTCTAGAGGTCCTGAGTTCAATTCTGGCAACCACATGGTGGCTCACAGCCATCTGTAGTGAGATCTGGTACCGTCTGGCATGCAGGCATACATGCAGGAAAAACACTGTATATAAAATAAATAAACCTTTTTTTAAAAGATGATGAACTAAATGACTTTCTAAAACATCAACAATGTATTAGTCAGTAAAAGTACTATGTTACATAATGCAATTTGGGCAAAAATCATCTATTCAAAAATATTAATAAGATTTCCTATAAGCAAAGGTTTTGAGTAAGTTTTTTGGTTTTGAATAACTTTAATTTCTTCTTGAGAATATCTGCATTGAAAGGGTGTTTTTACAATAAGTATATGACATTTGTATTATGCATTTATCTAGTAGATAATTAATTAATATAATTGTGCACTGGATCCTATCAAGGGTGAGAAAGACGCAGAGGTAAGAGAAATGGAAAAAAATCCTTGCCCCATGGAACTTATGTTCTAGTTGGAAAGACTGATCAAAATATTAATGCCTGTAAAATAAATGGTATTGTCAAATAAAGACTGGAGGAAAATGAGCACACAGAAAACAGAGTAAGAAGTTTTTAGACATAGCACTCATGGAAGGACCCAATGTAGAGGTCCTATAGCCTTCAACCAACAGCTGGTGAAAGTAGAAGCAGACACCCACAACTAATCACTGAACTGAAATGGAATTCAGTTGCAGAGAAGGACGAGTGAAAAATAAAGGGGCCCAGACCAGGCTGGTAAAACCCACAGAAACAGCTGACCTGAACTCTTGCTCCCCAGACTGATAGATGGAATACCTATCTATCATGGGACTGATCCAGACCCCAGGAACATGAGTTTCTGTGAGGAAACCTCGGAATTCTACAGGACCTCCTGTAGTTCAGTACTTATCCCTAGCATAAGTGTGGACTTTGGGAGCCCATTCCACATAGAGGAATACTCCCTGAGCCAAGACACATGGGGGTGGGCCTAGGCCCTATCCCAAAGGATACAATAGACTCTGATGACACCCTATGGAAGACCTCACCATCCAGGGGGAGCAAAAAGGATAGGTGATCCATAGGGTTTTAGTTGGGAGGGGGTAGGGGAGGACACGAGGGAGAAGGGAACTGGGATTGTCATGTAAAACAATCCTGTTTCTAATTCAAATAAAAAAAATGTTGGAAAAAAAAAAAGAAGTTTGATTATGGGTGGAGGAGAACAGGGGCTGGGAGCACTGATTCACTTTTTAAAATGGAATACAGTGACATTTAAAGCTGGTATGGTACAGCGTGACTGTAATCCTGGCACACTGGATGCAGAGGCAGAACAATCTTAACTTCAGTGCTACACAGCAACACCATGTCCCCAAAACATGTTAATATAATCCCAACACTTGAGAGATAGAGGCATGCAGATCTCTGTGAGTTTGAGGCTAGCCTGGTCTCCAGTTCCTGGATAGCCAGGACTACGTGGAGAAACTCTTGTCTTAAAAAAAATAAAGTCAAACATACAATTTTAAAATATATTTTAGAAGCAAGCATTTCCTAATTTTGTTTTAATAGTAGCCTTTTGGCTGAACCAAGTGTGAAAAACCTGAGTTTCCAAGTTCTCTGTCTACAATGCCAATAAAACCTAATAGGGGCTGTCTGGCTTCCTTGCATTTTTTAGCTATCCTCTACACTCCTGTAAGCTTCCCTGCCACTCCATAGTTAAGCTTCTGCTTAAGGGAAATCTCATACTACACATGTAATAAGCTCTGGCAGCTCTCATCAACAGCTTCTAAGCATGCACACCACAGTGCTGTTTGTTGAAATACTTGACAACATTTGAACTTGAGCAAAGTCTCCAAGACTACAAAGACATCTGAGGTCTGTAATTTTTTTTTTTCAGTTTGAGTTTCAAGGAAAAATAATGTATAACATTCAAAGCTCATTCAAGAAGTAAGCTGAGATCTGAAGCTAGTACGGCCACTAACAAACAGGGAAACATTTCCAACTTTCTTACTGCAATTTCTCATCCAGCTCCAGGACCTTCTTCATTAATTCCTGGTTCTCCTTCATCGTGGTGTGAGCAGAGGTCTCTGTCCTGATTTTAGAAGCCGAAAGCGCTGCGGATTCCTCTTGGAGCTCCTGAATTCTACTCCTCAGAGAGATAAGGAGAGATGACTTTCTGGCACTGTTTTCTTTGTAGCTCTCCACTTCAGCCTTCAGCTCTTGGCAGCAAACTTCTTTAGAGAGAAGCTTGGAGCGGAGGTCTCGGAGCTAAAGTGAAAGGATGGGGGGGAGGAAACCAAAGGGATTTAACAATGTGCCACAAAAATACCTCCCCCAAAGAGCCAAAGTTGTAATTGAAAATTTTGCCTTTCATTAATGACCTAGTCCAGTTTCATTTTCTCTTTCTTGAATTTGGATCTGTGTTAGCAACTTGGAAATTATGGCTGGATAAATTCCTAATAGTCATAGACTACCTGTTTTAAAAAAAAATCAGTTGAAGGCTGTTGTGATAGCCTTGAGGAAGAGTAATTCATTGTATCGTGTGTGAGAGACCTTGAATTCAATGCCCAGCACACAGGCAAAAAAAAAAAAAGAGTAATGTCTTAAGTTGATTTCATACTATTTAGGAAACATTTGTGGCAGATATTACAAAAAGCAATAAAATATTTTACAGTGGGAACTCATTTACTCTATCAGTACGGCTGCATTTAGTGCTGATTTACAATGATGCAGGGAACCTCCAAGCCACACTGTGATTTCACAGCCACAACTGTTTCTCAAGTAAATCCAGATGTTCAGGATATCCCTGTGTCTCTCCCATTTGCCTTCTAGACCATAATTGTAGGTGGCAAAGAGAAAGAATACTCAGATTCCTGGGGGAAATATGGCAACAAAGGGAAATTATACAAAGGGACTTTTGTGATTTCTGAAGCATCAAAATGCTGGAGGGGGCCAGGCGTTGGTGGCGCACACCTTTAATCCCAGCACTCAGGAGACAGAGGCAGGAGGATCTCTGTGAGTTCGAGGCCAGCCTGGTCTCCAGAGCAAGTGCCAGGATATGCTCCAAAGCTACACAAAGAAACCCTGTCTTGAAAAAAAAATGCTGGAGGGTGCTTGCATCCTGCTGACCAAGAAGGTCCGTCTCTTCTGTGGGACCATTTTCACACACATGTGGTTCTTTGGAACTGGGAATGTGCATGCATGCAGAATCACACACATGTTTACAAGTTCATCCCCCCCACCCCCCCCCCTTTTCCCCCCCCCCAACCCCCCCCCCAGGCCATTCCAGACCTCTCACAGCCACTGCACTGGGAGGAGAATGAGTCCAGACAGGCTCTGAAATTCCACTACACTAGTCAGCATTAGAATTTGCCCAGACAATCAGAACTCCCACATGAAGAGAAATCAGAAACCCTTCTAAGAACTCTGGAATACAAGCAATCCATATTAAAGGAAGACATTCTGAAGGGGGCTTCAAGTTCCCCAAGGCCCATGCAACTTTAACCCAAAGTCCTCAGGTGTCCCCCAGGTTATACAGACATCACTGAAATCTGAAAGCCAGGATGGAGTTGGAGGTGCTAAGCACACAAGAAAGCAAGTCTAATCTTTGTCAATAGGTCAAAATCCCTTGCTTACTATCAGGTTTCACTATGTGAAAGGCTAAAAGGATGCCCTTCTTAGTGGTGAAATGTGTACAGTGTCTCACCTCAGACTGAGCACATTCAAATTTGACCAAAGTCGCTGCAAGTTCACTTTGTACGTTTTCAGCCACATTCCGGTAATGGTTCAGTTGTTCCCAGGTGCCTGGGAATTCCATGGGATGATTGGCAGTTTCCTGGTGGAGTTTCCACAAAAGACAAAGCATTAAAAGGAGTGTTAACGAGTCTGTCATCTGAGATTGCACAAAGATATCGCAGAAGGAAGTTTCCTTTGTATTTCAAATGCATAGAATATGTTGGGTCTTGTTCTCAAAGTTGAAGCAAGAGGCAGCCCAAGAAATAATGATGAGCACACTCCTGAGACCATGGTAGAGGCATTTAAGAATCGGTCTTTGGAGCTGGGTACCATGGCCAACACCTATAAATCCTAGCAATCAAGAAGCTGAGGCAGGAGGATTCAGAGTGTTAGGCCAACCTGTACAACACATAAAAACCCTGTATCTTACAAGAAAAATAGATCTTCTACTATTATATGAGAAAAGTGATGTGGCTGCTCAGTAGTAGAGCCCACGAGTGATGCTTTGGGTTGCCTCTCCAATGAAAGAAAGAAAGGAGAAAAGGAAGACAGGGAGGGAGGGGAAAGAGAGGAGGGCAGATAGCCAAGCACGGGAGTTGGAGACAACAGGATCAGGACTTTCAGATTAACACTGACCACTTAGCAACTTGAAGGCCAACCTTGGCTACATGAGATCCTATCTCAAAAAGCCCAAATCAAAAAAGAAGAAGAGGAAGAGGAGAAGGAAGAAGGAGAGGAAGAGGAGGAGAAAGAGGAGAAGGAAGAGGAGAAGGAGAAGGGAAAAAAGGAAGGGGAGGAGAAAGAGACTACTCAACTGACAACCACTGGTGCTTGACACATTCATGCCCACACAAGTCATTCAGCAGCCCTGAACTCGACAACTAACGTTGCCATGACCTGCGTGTGGCAAGCCACAAGATGCCAAACAAAACCTCCAGGACACTTAGTGACAGCCAGTGTTTGGAGTCACAACACAACCAAGGTGGCTAAATACTCCTGGGAAGAAAGCAGAAGACGTGGTGGAAGCTCTTAGTGCAGGGTCGTATCCTAACAGCCTCATTCAGGATTCAAAAGGCCCCCTGACACACACCACCACAGCTGTACTTCCCACATGAGGCCGTGAGAGGCTGAAGTGTACACAGGAGAGTACACTTAGTGTACATGGCCCACCATTTAATAAAAAATTTTATGAGGAAGATAAGTTCTCCAATGGCTATGATCTCTTTCAACACAAAGCACAGTTCACTTAGGATGTGATGCAATGACCTCATTTAAGAAGTGCTATAATTATCTCATTGTTTTATATCTTCTTCTAATAAAAATGCAATGTGTCCACTAAATGCAATATTAAGAGCCATAGGAAGCATCTCAGAAATCGCCCTTCATCTTAGCAGGTCCTCACCTAAAGCAGATCTGTACCCAAAGTATTAACATCTTCAAGTGCTCATGGGTGGACAAGGATGTATTTTAGTTAAAACAGGGCTGTGGGTGAGAAGCTCTCCATGTCGAGAACTTGCCAAGCATGGACAAAACTTTACTGTCAACCTCTTCACTACCAAAGCAAACAAATACAGTCTGAACCAACAGCTCGACTCTCCAGTTCCTTCTCCTTGAAAACCATTCACTCATGTGCAGAGACATGTATAAAGATTATTATTATTATTATTGTGTGATTTATAATAACAACAAAAGGGGGAGAGGTTATTAAACTCCTGTTAAGATGACAGTTATTAAACAAAGGCCTTCCTGGACTGTAGAATCCAAAAAAATGAGAAATAGGAGACAGAGCTGTATGTCGGAGCATTATATTGATTCCAAGAGACATCACTGAACAAAACCAAGAGTGTGTAGAGCCACAACCTGATGCTTGTGTTCATAACCCAAAAGGAAAAGGGAAAATACCACTATGTGTATTTCCTGTAAGTACACCTAAGACGAATCAAGGGGAACAAAGCACGCATGCCTCATAACAATATTGACCTCCAGGAGGGACTCCAGTGTTGAACACCAGGAGAGAGTGCAATGGCTCACTTTTACATAACTTGTGTAATAAAACTGCTGGCAAGAAACACTGTGGCTCCCCGGGCGTTGGTGGCACATGCCTTTAGTCCCAGCACTCGGGAGGCAGAAGCAGGAGGATCTCTGTGAGTTCGAGACCAGCTGGGTTTACAAGAGCTAGTTCCAGGACAGCCTCCAAAGCCACAGAGAAGCCCTGTGGGGGGGTGGGAGAAACACTGTGGCTCTTTTCATCTTCCCATATTCCCCAGGGCCTTCACAAGGACTGTGTGTTACTTTCATCATCAGACGGCATGTCCTCTGTGTAAGTTTTTTTTCTGTTTTATTGAAAATATATTTTTCTCACATAATGTATCCTGGTTACAGTTCTCTTCCCTCTCCTCCTCCCACTCCCCCCCTTCCCTCCTACCTGGATTCACTCCCTTTCTTGTCTCTTTAGAAACCAATAGGCTTCTAAGGGATAATAGTAAAAGATAACAAAATAAAATAGAATAAGATAAAACAAAAACTAACACACTGAAGTTCTACAAGATGAACAGAAATAGAAGAGCCCAAGAGAAGGCACAAGAATTGAAGACCCACTAGTTCACACACTCAGAAGTCCTATAGAAACACTATAAACAGGAAGCTACAATATGCACACAAGGACCTGATGCAGACCTGTGCAGACCATGTGCATGCTGGTTCAGTCTCTGTGAATTTGTATGAGCTTTGATCATGTTGGTTTAGAGGATCTTGTTTTCATGGTGTCCTCCATCTGCTGTTAAGTATTTTTTTTAAGGGACAAGCATAGCTAAAACACACTAACCCTGCTATACATTCTGTCTATGAAGACTACAATGACAACGAGGTGCACAGCACAGACTGCAACACGGGTGAGAGTTGATATTTCAGGAGGTTTCTTTTAGTCAAGCCCTCCTGTAGTCCTTTTTTACTAATCCCTCAATTTTACCTGTAGTATTAAACAATCTTCACTTTATTTTTTCACTCTATCCACACTGACAAAATTAAGGCCCCATCCACTTGTCCTTCCTTGAGGACAATTGAAGCCATTAGGTACCTCCCAGCTAGCCCATGAAGCAATTTTATATTCATTTCAGAGAGCCAACTACATATGATTTGATTCTGCTACTGATACTATTATGGTAATGAATGAAATTGCCTTTTGGTGGCTCATAGTCTTTTCAGAATAAAGGAGAGTTTCTCAGTTCAGTGCCGTAAATGCAAAGATAAGCTCACTCAGAATTCAGTACACAGTGTGCTCAATTATCTGACCTGTGGGCAGTGTCTTGAGCCAGTCTCACTACTACAGTGCCTAGCTGTCATATTATCCCATGGACAAAAGTAGAAAGAAAAGGAGGAGGAAGAAGAAAGTCACTGCCAGTAGGGGACACACGAAAGCTCTTAAGTTCATTCCATTCTCCCCTCCGGGTCCCAAACCAACCATTCTCCCGTTTGCTCCAGCATTACACCACACCATAATGTTCAACTGAATTACCACAGACTCTTCCATTATTGAATATCTGTTTTCTTTCCAAACAAGCCCTTAGCTCTGCCCAAGGAAACCTCCGTAAAATATTGTTGCTTTGTGTTTATCAGCAGCTATTTCTTCTGTTAAGAGAAACCTGTGACCTCCAGGACACACCATCTTCTGATGGCAATAAAGCCTCTAGAGACCCGATTCAGAACACAAGAGAATGTGGAAACCCTAAGAACATGCAAGTAAATAATCAAATAATTTTAAACCTTCCTATAAGAATTCATGCAGATCTGGGAGCATTGAGCTGGCTCAGCCTATTAAGGGTACTCATGGCCAATGTTGACTGGCTACCTTAGTTCAACCCCTGGGTCCCACACAGTTAAGGCAATAACCAACCCCAAATGTGGGCCATGGCACACACACGCACATAATAAAATATTTAAGTATCTTATACAAGGGACAAGATTCACAATAGTGTTTAGAATGACATTTTTATAGTTCATTCCAGAATTAGTCCAATTCAAGGTGAATCTGAAGTCCCTTCCACTGCTGTATTTAGCAACTGTCATCACATAGCATGAGAATGATGAATGTCCTGAGCACACTCTTTGGGGCAGAGGCTATGACTTCAGTTTAGGAAGGAACCACAGGCTTCTGCAAAGTGGGTCCAGCTTAAACTAGACCTACCTCACTCCTCCCCAGGACCCTCATTCCTATTCCCCCTGCAGGCTCCAGTGAAGAGAGTAAAGATAGCTGTGGATTCCAAGAAGGCAGCAGAGGCTATCCTCCTTAGTTTTTATTGTTAACCTGGTATCACCTAGAATCATTTGCACAAAGGGTGTGCCCAGATCCAATTAGCCTATAGCCACATCTGTGAGAAACTGTATTCATTGTTAATAGATGGAGGAGGGCCCAGTCCACTGTGGGGTCATGGTTCAGAGTTGTATAAGAAAGCTGACTAAACAGGGCATGTTAATCCCAGCACTCAGAAGACAAAGCCAGGTGGATCTCTGTGAGTTTGAGGCCAGCCTGGTCTACAGAGTGGGTTCAGGCTAGTTGGAAGAAAGATGTGCTACCATCTGAGCTATAGCCCCAGCCTCCAGCGTCCAAGATTCAAGCCACTGGGTGTGTATTCCTCATTCCTGTTGAGATAGTACAGTAGTTTGAATGTAATTGGTCCCCAGAAGCTCATAGGGAGTGGTACTGTTAGGAGGTGTGACTTTGTTGGAGGAAGTGTCACTGTGGGGGTACTTGGAGGCCTCCTATGCTCAAGCTACTTCCAGTGTCACAGCCCTCTTCCTGTTGCCTGCTGATCTGAGATGTAGAACTCTCAGCTCCTTCTCCAGCACCACGCCTGCCTGCATGCCACCATGCTTCCTGCCATGATGATAATGGACTAAACCTCTAAAACTGGAAGCCACCCAATTAAATGATTTCCTGTATAAAAGTTGCTGTGGTAATGGTGTGTCTATTCCCAACAATAGAAACCCTAAGACAGATAGCAAGATGTGGGTATGTTCTGTTAGGCAAGTGTGGAAGCCTCCTCTGTCTAATACAAATTCACCAAGCTCTCAGACACCCGAGCTGAAGCGCGTCAATACCAT